GTGCTGCAACCTCAGTGGAAAGATTCGTGGAGAGAAGATGTGTTACGGCGGAGTGTAGGTGCCCCACCTCTTCGATGTTACTTAGGGCTGGGTCGCGGTAGTGTTCAAATGTTGACCTGAATGGACCAGCCCCAACTCCGCTGGGGCAATCCCCAAGGACGGCTGAGAATCTGTCCGCGGTGCACGAAAATTGCGTAGGTGTTGTGTAGGTGTGGACCCAGTCAAACAGCTCAACTTGGGGTTGGGGATGTTTCAATTCCAACTGCTGCAAAGTTGCGATCGTCGCAGGGGCCGCAGGCGAGGGTGAAAGGGTTGCCAATGCTTTTCGCAAGTTACCTCGTTTCACCAGCCCCTTCACACGTGAGCAGATTCCAAGGGGGTCGTTTTGGTGCTGTGGTGGCTCAGCTTGGTGCAGGGACCCCACGTAGTCATTGTAGAGCTGGTTCCAGTGGCCACATCTGAATAGGTGCATGTGCTCTCACAGCACCTTCCACTTAGAGCTAGACCTCCTGCTAAGTTGTAAGGTGAGACGAGGCAGGAACATGAGGACCCGCCACGCTCCCGCGCAGTTGGGCTGTTTGGAGATCCGTAAGAGGGCGGCCAGCATACAGGTGGAGTAGTCGCCTAGTAACCGCGGCGGCAGGCGGCGGACGATAGGCAGGTGGGTGGTTGACGTTAGGGTTGAAGAGTCCTAGATGTCTGGGCGTCGACCCCCAGCTCCGCGTTCGCCCCCTCCTGCAAAGCGCCAGCGGCCCTACTCCCCTCGTCGCGGGGACCGTTTTCCTGGCCGCCAGCGTCAGCATGGCCCATCTCGCCCGCAGTCGCCTTTGCGCTCGAGCGCAAGTGGGCGTGCGCGTCGTGGGCGACGGGGAGGTGACAATCGCGGCGGAGAGCGGGTCCAGCGCCGTCCGCAATGGAGCGCCGTCTTCTGGACAGGCTTGATGACGTGGAGAAGGAGCTTCGTCGCTCGTGTGCCTGGTCGGCGTCACCATCAGCTCCTCGCGCTGCTCCCGTTGTCCCTCTCTCCGCGCTCCTGCCCCACAATCCCTTAGGATCCCCGGCGCGTAGAGAGCGGCCGTTGCGTGCGGGGACGGGCTTCGTAGGTGCTGGTGGCGGGCCGCCGTGGGCTTAGTTTGCTCCGCCGCGTCCTCTTCCTGCTCCGCGTGATCTCGCCTTATCATCTCACCGTGCCCGCGCGTATGCGTTGCTTCCGCCGATGAAGGAAGTTCCCACGGCGACCCTGGCCCGCCTATGGTCGCCGGTGGCGTCCCTGCAGAGTCTTGAGCGGATTCTCCGGGATTCATTTGACTCCACGCCGGTGAGCCCTCCGAGCAGGTTCTCTCACAAACCGCGAGCAGATTGTCATGCGGCGGCGTCAGCGCTATTCGCGCTCGTAACGCCACTGCAGGTAGCGCCCTCGCCGGGAGCAACCTCGGCCAGCCAGCTGGCTGACTTGGCCCTGGCTCTGAGGACGCTTGTAGCAGGCCCTGGTACTCCTGTTGACGTTGTAGGCGCCACCGTGTCTGTGGTCCGCCAGTTGTGGTTGAACACGAGCGGAATGCTCGCTGCGGTAGAGGCGGACCGCATGTAGGCGCTCCCCCCTTGCGCGTGTAGATCCGTTCCATCCTCTACTTGCTTGCTTTGTTTGTATCGGTTGCCTGAGCTACTACTGCTTGTTGTTTCCCCTTGCCATCCCTAACGCGCGGCACGCGAGCACCGGCGGCCGAAGGCCGCCGGCGCGAAGCGCCGAAATTTCCAGCACTAACTGAAAGAATGAGAGATGGAGAGGCAGTCGTGGCCTTAAGTAGTCATGGCAGAGGGCAGAGAGCAGAGGGTAGAAGGGGAGAGGCAAATCCTCTCTCTCTCTCTCTCTCTCTCTCTCTCTCTCTCTCTCTCTTACACACACACACTCACTCACTCACTCTCTCTCTCCCTTTCTCATTCGGAATCCGCTCACTTCCGCGTGCAGGTGGACCCTAACAGTCAGAACCACGGGGATGTTTTTCCCAGCCTGTGGGTGCAGGTGGCTTTTGAGGCGCCTCAAAAGGCTTCCCTGCCCCTTCCCCCTGTCTCCTGCTGCTTCTCGCGCAGGTGGACCCTAACAGCCAGAACCACGGGGAGGTGCCTCCAAGCCTGTGGGTGCAGGTGGTGCAGGTGGCCGTGGCAATGATTGTCATGGACGCGTGGCAATACTTCTGGCACCGGCTCATGCACGAGAGCCGCTTCCTCTACAGGTCAGCATGCTTCTCCCTTCTTTAGATGTCTCTAGGGATTGTGGGTGTCGGGGTGGAATTGGGACCGGAAGGGCAGAAAAATAGTCCCTCCCTTGCTGCATCTCAGATGAACGCACATCATGTCAGTCATACACACACACGCGCGCACACGCACGCACGCGCGCGCACACACACACACACACTCACACACACACACATACTCACACACACACACACACTCACACACACACTCACACACACACACACACACTCACACACACACTCACACACACACACACGCTCAAAGACATTCACAAACAGACTCACACACATACAAGAATCGATGCACACACACACACAAACAGCATGCAGACAAGAATCCATGCACACACACATATACACGGAACAGCCACCATGCTCCACTCTCTCATCCCCTTGATCCCTGCGGTTCCATGCATCTTCCAGGAATCTGCACAGCTGGCACCACAGGCTGCTGGTGCCGTACGCCTATGGTGCCCTCTACAACCACCCCATCGAGGGACTCATTCTTGACACCTTTGGCGGCGCTGTCTCCTTCCTCGTGTCCGGTGAGTTCTGCTGCCGTGCTGCTCCCTTTGTCTTCTTCTCGCCCCCTCTCCACTCTCCTCTCCCCCCGTCTTGCCTCCCTCTCCCCTCTCGCCTTTTTGCCACTCACTACTTCCCTCTCACCCCACTTCCTTCCTTACCGTCTGCTTTCTCATCCCGTGCTCTACGTATTGTACATCTTCATTCCCACGTGACATTGTTGTCATGTCACCCTTCCCCCCTCCGCCTCTTCCCTCCCGCCACACCAGGTATGCACCCGCGCACGGCCATTTTCTTCTTCACCTTCGCCACCATGAAGACGGTGGACGACCACTGCGGCCTCGTGCTGCCCTTCAGCCCCTTCCAGCGCTTCTTCCACAACAACGCCGGTACGCTCGTCGCACTTCAATGACTGAGTAGACTCAAAACTAAAGTCACCTTGTGCTGCCCTTCAGCCCCTTCCAGCGCTTTTTCCACAACAACGCCGGTACGCCCACAGCTCGCCAGCAGCACTACCATCCCATCTCGTGCACCCGTGCTTCTCAGGAGTCTTGAATCTGATCACTTTGTGAACAATCCAGTACGGGGCTTGTGTTTTGAGTGCCACAGTCATGCATGTTGCTCCTCTTTGATGCCATGCGTGGACCTAAAGTGCATTCCTGAGCAGCACCATTCCTCCTTCAATCATCTCATCGTCCCCCACTCCCCACCTCCTCCACCTGCTCACCGTCCTCCCTCCCCCCCACCTTCGTCCCGCCATCTTACAGCCTACCATGACATACACCACCAGCTCTCTGGGTTCCGTTTCAACTACTCGCAGCCCTTCTTCCCGGTGTGGGACATGCTCCTCGGCACCCACATGCCCTTCACGCTCGTGCAACGGGCCGACGGGGGATTGGAGGCCAAGGCAACCCGCAAGGCATCGCTCTCCTCTGACGCTAAGACCACCGCTGCTGCTGCTGCCGCCATGGCTGATGCTGCTGGTGCTGCTGGTGCTGCGAATGGGGGTGGGGATGGGGAGCGCAATGATAAGAAGAACGACTAAGGCCTTGGTGGTGGAATTGAGCTGCAGGGAATTGCCTTGGCCTTGTCTTGGAGTCCGTCTTCTTAACCTGGGATATGCAACTGAGGATGTTTCCTCGAACAAGAGCTGGTGTATAGGAGAGAAGGAAGGGGGTGTTGTGGCAAGTAATATTACAGCATCGGTCGGTCAAACGTCCCCGTGGTACTTGGATGGCATCTAACCAACCATCTTATCTGCTTCAGCAAGGGCTGCTGCTGCTGCTGATTCCATGTGAAGCGTGTCTCTGCTGCTGCTGATTCCATGTATCACAGCATCGGTCGGCGCATGGTCCCCGCTGACTATGCGTGATTGTTTCATATCATGATACGATTCATTTGTGCACATGTTCCGCCCTGCTCTGCTCCCGATCCTGTACACTGGTAGTATTAGGGTAAGTGCTGCAGTAGTGCAGGTGATTCACTGTTCTAGTCCATGTTGCTGTGCATGCAGCATACCTACTGTGAGGTGCAGACCTGGCTGTGTCAGCAATCTTTTCCCCACATTCTACTAGTACGGTAGGTCCTCCTTTTTAACCTTTGTTAGCAGTCCTGTTAGTACCTGACCCAGTATGTACCCAGTAATAGTTCTGTTACAGTGCAGCAGTACCTTGTTGCCATCACTTCTAGTGCATACCGCTTCGCTTCACTGATTTCCGTGAACTGTATGGATAGTGGAGAATAGGACACTAAGTGCCAGAGAATAGGACACTAAGTGCCAGAGTTGTTGTAGAGAAGCAAGGTGGAGAGAGCAATGCTTCCAATTCTCATTGTTGGAGCTACTCGTGATGTGTGCTGCGACGGGTGACATGGTTATACCGTAGTGATGAAGTTTCCAGTGATTACCGTAAAATTCCAAGTACAAAGAGTTATCAACTTATCATTGTCCAGCCTCCACAAAAAGCATTGACCAGGAACAGTTCATCCATGCACGTCAAGAGCAGGAAGAACTATGCAGTAAGCAGCATGCTCAACAGTGCATGTACAGTTCAGTCATTCCCTCCTCCATTGAGGCATTCCAAGGAGCCGACCATTTATTCACAGATCACCACGAGTCAATGGCAGTATTTGATTGATGGCCTTGTTGCTGCCTTTCCGTGATACGCAGGTAGATACATATCCAGGGAATATGTTCAAGCGCTGACTGATGAATCGAAATGCTTTTCAGCTCTGTGTGGCGCTCTCACTGGATGCAGCAACGACATGAACACCAGTAGCAACCTCAACGGCATGATCAGCAACCCCATCACTGTTGCCAGCATTTGTCCCGCCCACGGGAGTGCCACCAGCACCAGTGCATGTGTCACCAATTGCGGTGCCACCAGCAGCCGTCTCCCCAGCAGCAGTATCCCCATCAGCATCCGCACTGCGCATTTCAGCCCGACTGCTGTGATCGCACTGAATGATGTCGCCACTCATACTCCACGACGAAGCATACCCTGTTCGATAACTCGCGCTCGTACTCGCACTCTCATTCCCCTCTCCACTCAGCCACATGCTCCGGACCGACACACCCGCCCCTCCCACCTCCCTCACACTCCTCTCCCCCATCCCCACGTTCCCTCCCTCCCCTGAATATCTGCTATCCCTCACGCTTCCCTTCCCAGACTCATTGTCTCTGGTCGTCGTGGCAACAGCAGCGGGACTAGTAGCAGCAGCAGCAGCAGCAGCCACTACAGCAGTTGGCACCATTCCCCCCCTACCATCTCCCCAGCTGCCCCTAATCCCACTCCCTTCCCCCACCAGCACCCTCTCACCATCCTTCTTCCCGTCCTTATCTTTCCCCTCTTCCCTCCCATCCATCTCTCGTTCCCTACTGGCCCCAGCACCCAGCTCCCCAGCACAACTGAAGACGTCCTTTTCACCGTTCTCAATCATGGGCATTTTCTCTACGTCTACTCCGCTCGACCCATCCGCTGTGGGCCCCCCTCCATCCGTCCCATGCCCACTTGTGTCAAGCACATGGCCCACTATAGGAACACACAAACAAGAAGCTCCTGTACCATACCCATGCCCATGCCCATGCCCATGCCCCTCCGAATGCCGCAACAGAGGACCGTTCTCACCCTCCTCCTCACCTCCTACCTGCTCTCCACTGCCGTCCTCCTCCTCTCCTGTCCCTTCCACTACACCTTCCACTCTTCCTACCATGTCTGCCTTTTCACCATTCAACAGGCCAGCTCCCGAGTCCCCAGCCACACCATTAGCAACAGCATGTCCTGCTGTGCCATTTGGTACACGCAACCCTCCTTTTCCTTCCTCGCTTCCACCACCCGCACCAGCAGCACTAGCAGCACCAACTGCACCAACAGCACCAGCAACAACAACAGCACCAGCAGCGGCACTCAGGTCAGCATCACCACCCTCCTGCTCTGCTCCACGAGCACTTGCTTTAGACAGCCCCCGGCCCAGCCAGGCCAGCAGTGGCACTCGTGCCAGCACAACACCCCACCTCCACCCTCCCTCCCTCCCCTCCACTCCCTCCCCAGCCGCCGCCACTCCATCTCTCTCTCCCTCCATATCCCCATCCCCACCACCATCACCTGCGCCACGCCCGACCATATAGTCAGCAGCACCATCCCTACTTGCGCCACCAGCATCCACCTCGCCAAACGACTCGGACCCTTTCCCCCGGCGGAGGGACATGGAGTGTGCAATCACAGACAGCTTCCTCTCCTCCACCATCGAAGCTTCCAGCGGCGACACATAGAAATCCGGGTTGATGATCTGGTGAATGTTGTCCGAGGGGGGTGCGTCCGGGGACAGGTCTGGGTTGTGCAGAGGGCGCATGCAGAAGGGCATGTACTCGGGTGCCATGTCGTCCATACGTTGCATCATGTCATTGCTCTGATTGTACTCGTCCACATCGACAGCTAGCTCCAACGGGAGGAACCTGCCGTAATTGGGGGGGGGGGACGAGGAGGGGGGGAAACATTTGAGGCTGCTCAAAGACCACCTCGTGGCTCTGATTGTACTCGTCCACGTCTTCTGCTAGCTCCAACGGGAGGAACCTGCAGGGGGTGGGGGGAGCACGAGGGGGGAGACAGGACGTGATTAGTGGTTGTGGTGATAAAGGAAAGGGAAAGAAGGGAGAGACAGCAGTAGTGCTGAAGCGGGGAACGGGAGATTATGAGGAAGGAGGGAAGAGTGAGCGAGGAAAGTTTGAGAGGAAAGAGAGCGGATAGGGAAATGAGGGAGGAGGAGCAGCGAGGAAGATGAGGGAGGAGGGCAACTGACTGGAAGGTGTTGGTGAACTTGGCGTGTATGAGCGCCATGAAGTAGAAGGTCACAAAGGGTAGCGGCGCTGCTGCTGCTGCTGGCAGGTACGCCTGCTTGATGACAAAGATTCCGATCACCGTCACCTGCATGCACACGCGTAGCACAAACAACAGGACTCTGGGTCAGTCAGCTGGTGTGAGCATGCGTGTGTATGCGCGTTTGTGTGTGTGCGCGCGTGTATGCGCATGTGCGCGTGCACGAGTGGGCGTATGGCAGAAAGAACTGCCCTTAAACACCGTTATCTTAATGCTAGCATGAAAAGAGAGCAAAGGGACCAAAGGGACTAGAGTTGCTAACGCAGTCAAAGCTGCCCCGGGTGCCCCAGACCTGCGCGATGATGAGAGCCGCGTTCACATGCCCCACGAACTTGATCCACAGCAGCCCTCCCGTCTGGTATGGGTACGAGTACACGTACATGATCTGAGAGGGGGGAATGGTGTGGGGATGTAGGGACAGGGTGTGGGTGGGTGGTACAGGTTGAAGTTGGTACAGGTTGAAGTTGGTACAGGTTGAAGTTGGTACAGGTTGAAGTTGGTACAGGTTGAAGTTGGTACAGGTTGAAGTTGGTACAGGTTGAAGTTGGTACAGGTTGAAGTTGGTACAGGTTGAAGTTGGTACAGGTTGACGTTGGTACAGGTTGAAGTTGGTACAGGTTGAAGTTGGTACAGGTTGAAGTTGGTACAGGTTGAAGTTGGTACAGGTTGAAGTTGGTACAGGTTGAAGTTGGTACAGGTTGAAGTTGGTACAGGTTGAAGTTGGTACAGGTTGAAGTTGGTACAGGTTGAAGTTGGTACAGGTTGAAGTTGGTACAGGTTGAAGTTGGTACAGGTTGAAGTTGGTACACGTTGAAGTTGGTACAGGTTGAAGTTGGTACAGGTTGAAGTTGGTACAGGTTGAAGTTGGTACAGGTTGAAGTTGGTACAGGTTGAAGTTGGTACAGGTTGAAGTTGGTACAGGTTGAAGTTGGTACAGGTTGAAGTTGGTACAGGTTGAAGTTGGAAGTGCGGACGAGCGTGGTACAGAGGAGCATCCCATCCCGGCGCCGCTGCGCCAGAAGCTCGTCCGCACTTCTCGTGTTTTGAGTCAACTCGAAACACGACTCAGAGGAGCATCCTGCCGCCTCTGTGCTAGATGCCTGCTGCAATTCTCGCCCAGATGCCCATTTGACACTGAGGAGCATCTGGGTGCGAAGCTGCTTGACGGAACAAAACAAAAGTGTAAACGGCACGTCAAGGTCAACAATATGGTGGGGATGGTGGAGTGGGGCAGCGGAATTAGGGACGGGAAGGGGGAGGAAGGGATTTTGTGGGGATAAGAGGAGGCGATGATTGGGGCGACAAGGGTGTGACGTGGAATAATAATTTCTAATGCAACTGGATGGGCTACACACCTGGTGCTTCCACACGAGGTAGCCAATGCAGGAGTAGAAGCAGACAAAGGGCAGGATGATGGGGGCGATGACTGCATAGACAAGCCCGATGGTGATCACCAGGTTCTGGTACGGAAAGAAGATGTGGTAGTTGATGCCGCCCTGTGGGTGGTTGGGATCAGGATTAAGAGACGAGGAGAGAGTTTTGAGACGTATATACGAGGCATATACGAGGCCGATGGTGATCACCAGGTTCTGATATGGGAAGAAGATGCGGTAGTTGATGTCTCCCTGGGGGTGGTTGGGATGGGATCGAGAGGGAGAGATATGAGGACAAGTAGGGGCATTGAGGTTCGTGTGGGGACAGTGTGGGGATGCGATGGAAAGGCGGTCAAGCTTGTTAGGGCGCGTGTGATCTTTAAAATTTGTAGAAGTTTACATTTTTAGGTCGAATGTAGCATTTGAACTTAGGGCAAACAAAACTCGACTTCCCTTGCAGCGAAGTTCGAATCTTGGGCCCCCAACTCAGATGAGTCACACTCACACAGCCTAGGTCGAACAGAGAGATTCGACCTTATAGGGAAGGCGGCGAGCCGCTAGTAGGGGTGTAGGTTACCCAGTACAGCGCGCCACGTCAACATACTGCGCAACGGAACTCCGCGACCTTCACGAAGTTGTCGCTATTTGAGTCGAGTTCACATTTGACATTCGCACTTATGTGCCCCCAAATTTCTCATGCCTTCGCCAAAGCATTTCGGCGACATTGGCGAAACAGGTAACCACACAAAGTTCGACCCTTTTTCCGAACTCTAAAAGATCACACACCCCGTAATCTCAATTTTCAAAACTGTGTCGGGGGTGCTCCGAGAATCGAACTCGGGACCTCTCGCACCCGAAGCGAGAATCATACCACTAGACCAAGCACCCATGACAAGTGGGCCACAAAAATTCGGAAGCCACCGCGCCAAAACGCGCAACCTTAAGCTATTACCTAGTTGGCTTATAAAGCCCCCTACTTGCCCTTCATTTTCCCACATATATACACCTCACTCCGTTTCCTGCATGTATGGCACACCTATTTCTTTCTCCTCTACGAACCTTCTTGCTTCCAACCCGTCCTTCCCCCCACCCCCCCCCCACCCACCTGGTTCCAGAGCTTTTCGCGGTCGGCAATCGCAACCCCAGTGAAGAGCACGCGGAAGAGGTAGATGAAGAGCGCGAGGGGCAGGCGCAGCAGCTCGACGCCAAAGATGATGGTGGAGGTCATCACGTACGACAGGTAGAACCCCGACGTGCTCGGCACCGACTTTCCCAGGATCTCCAGCACGTATGATGGCTGCTCCAGGAGGAGCTGTTCACAGGCAGAATGGCAAAAGAGTTGGGGGAGGGGTGAGTATAATTGAGACTTTTTGTCACTTCCCAGGATCTCCAGCACGTATGATGGCTGCTCCAGGAGGAGCTGTTCACAGGCAAAGAGGAGAGAAGGGTTTGGGAGAGAGAAAAGAGACGGTTTAATTGGGAAAGAAACAATCGAGTATCTCCTGCTGCCCCAGGTTCTCCAGCACGTACTTTGACGGCACCTACAGTACATAGTTTGATTTTTTTTGTTTAAATAAAATAAGAATATATCTATATATATATAAAACAAAAACATCCACATCAACACGTGCTGCTCTGAAGAAATGTACCAGTCGCACCTGAATCTGCTGTAGCACGGAGGTAGTGAAGAAGAAGCCAAAGAAGATGTTGCAGAGCAGGATGTAGTAGAAGCGCTCGGCTGCGAGGCGCTCAGCAGCGGAGGTGGAGAGGCAGCCCTGCATGTAGGAGAGCATGACCATGAGCGGTGGCGCTATCCAGTAGCACACACGCAGCCCCACCGCTGGCAGGATGAGCGTCAGCCCCTTGTACAGCCACCCGCTGCACAGTGGGGATGGAGAGGGTGGGGGGAGAGAGAGAGAGGGGAGAGAGGACAGAGAGGCAAGCGAAAGTGACCATGTGCCTTGCGGAATGTATGCCAACCGCAATGGCAGTGCAATGCATGGTGGGAGAGGGAACGATGATATGATTCAATACAAAAAGAGCGGACTGGATTATATGATTCTTTAGGGGACGGGAAGAGATAAGGTTGCGATGAGAGGTGGAGTGGGAGGGTGGGATGATGGTGCGATGCAACATCATATTCCTTGGACTCCCCATACGGCCCCATTCATTCCTCGGTTTTGTTTCCCAAACTTACATGTGCTCGCCCTGCAATTATCCACAGGCTCTCCAGATCCAGCCACCCACCCAGCAACCCATCCAGCCATCCATCTAGCCACCCATCGACTAGCCCACCCTTCCACGCCCCCGCCCATCCACCCACCCACCCACCCACCAACAGCCCAGGCGCTCACTTCTGATCAATATCCTTGAGCGGCGGGAAGATAGCAGCGAGCGTGTCAAAGGAGATGAGGAAGCTGGCGGCGGTGACAGGCAGGTAGAAGAAGACCACAGAGCACACAAAGATGCCGTTGGCCACCTGCGTGCGGATGCGCCGCTCCCAGAACCGCGGCTCCAGGTTCTGCCACACCACGTCCCGTGGCTCGGGCGCGCGGTGCACCAGCCACGCGGAGCCCTGCAGTGCGTGGGCTGTTTGCACTGCCACGGCTGAGGAGCGCCGCTTCCGGAACGCCACAAAGGCTGCGCCTGTGCGCCTGGGGGCAAAGAGGAGAGGGAGTGCGGCAGAGGGGGGAGAGGGTGTGAGGCGAAGGGGAGTCTGGGAGGGGGAACGGAGCGAAGGGAAGAGGACGGAAGGTGAGGGGAGTCTGCAGGGGATGGCACTGGTGGTGGAGAGCAGTGCAGCAACCCCACTTGAGAAATGCAGCAAAGGCTTCAGGCTACAGCCCAACCAGTCCAGGCAGCAAGGTTCATTTCAGCAGAACCTTCACAGCCAGGAAGTAAGTGCTCCCTGACTCCCCTGTTCCCCTTCCCCCTACCCCCCCCCCCCCTTTCCCCCTTGCCCCTACCGTTTTCCCCCTCTTCCTCCTCTTCCCCCTTCCCTCTCCCTCCTCCTCCCCATTCTCCCCTTCTCCCCTTCTCTCCCCTTCCCCCCTGCCCCCCAGCCCTTACCGGCGTGCGGAGGCGGTTCTCTGCGCCTCTTTGAGCGCCTTGCTGGCGTCCTCCACCTGGCGAATCCAGTACGTAATGCTCGGCTCCCTGGGTCCCACCATGAACACCTGCGAGCACACGCACAGACACACAGGCACACACACGAGCACGAGCACAGGCACGAGCACAGGCACGGGCACGGGCACGGGCACAGGCACACGCATGAGCATGAGCATGAGCACGGGCATGGGCACACGCACACACACACACGCACAGCCACAGCCAAACCTCGAGGCACATGTCAAATGCAGTACCAAAGCCTGGAAAACAGATACTGGTGAGGAGGAGGGAGGCGGAGAGGGGGCGTGCAGGGGAGGGGAACAGCGGGAAGAAGGGGGAAGGGGAGAAGGAGAGACCGTTTGAGAGAGACCTTGACACTAAAGGTCCATTCGAGAGAGGAGAGAGCACATACCTGGCGCAGCAGCCCATCGCGTCTCATCGGCACGAGCTCCTCCTCCGGCCTGGGGTTCTTGCGCTGGCAGTTCCGCTCCAGACTCTGCTGGTACCGGAACCGCGTGCGGTCCAGCATCTGGACCGCGTGGCGCCAGCGCGCGTACGCGCGCATGACCTTGCCGTAGCTGGCGACGCCCTGGTTGTTGAGGTAGGAGTCGGGGTAGAGGCGCGAGAAGAAGCGGTCCACGAACTGGGAGTCCGCCACCGCAGACGCGGACGAGCAGTCGGCGCGCTGTGGGGGCTGCACAGCGCCCATGGTGCAGATGCGCAGCAGGGTGAATAGGCGCCGTACTGCTGGCTTGCTCAGCTTCACTGTCGGGCTGTGGGCGGGGGAGGGAGAAGACGGGGCACAGCGGGAATAGCGTGGCATGAGGAGTGGTGTGGCGCGTCATGGCGTGGGGAAGAGGACTGGAAGGTAGTTATGAAGATGGTGTTGCACCAATACAGCTCCTCCAACCTACTCTGCCGACAACCAATGCTCCCACAGCGCAACTCCAATCCCAGCCCTGACAGAACTCAGTCCGTTAGTGCGGAAAGTCCAGCAAGAAAAAAAACAACATACACCTGCACGCTTTTGAACCGCCCTTGCCCCGTACTGGACACGCTCTCAAACTTACACAACGCCTTCCTTGGGCGCAAACAGCCCCACACTGGACTCCTGCCTCAGCTTCGGCGGCTGCGGCACATCAGTGACGAGCACCACATACTCCTCGGGATGCAGCACCTTGGCTCTTGACGCCAGGTAGTCGTGCCTCAGCCCCCACACGTGGCGGTACGTCCACCAGATGATCAGAAACGTTGTTATAGACACCGCATACAGCATGACTAAATGAGCCCAGAACACCGGGGAGCCCGGAGGCACGTTGCTTATAGAGAGGAAGTCTAAACTGGAGCTGTTGAAAGGGGTGCTGGTGGTGACGCTGGTGGCGGTGGTGGTGACAGTGGTGCTGTTAGGAGTGGAGAAATTTCCCGTAGGGATGCATGTCCAGGGGCCATCTGGAAAAGGAAGTCCGCCCGTGGACGAATTATCAAGTGCGCTAGTGTAGTTGTATCCTGTAATGTAGCTGAAACCAGTGCTAGTGTAGTTCACACCTACACCGTACGGAAGCCCTATCAGGCTGATGCAGTGCTCTCGCAGCGTCGTATTCCCGCATGTTTCAGTCACGTTCCAGCAACCCTCTGTGCTGTTCCAATAATAGCCCCTACCAGTGCCACACACTGTGCCGTTCTTGCCCGCAATACCACTGCTGTTCCTGCCGGCGCTGCCGCTGGTGTTCCAGCTGCTCGCAGTGACTCCTAAAGTGCTCCTTTCGCTCCTCATACTGAACCAATCGTCCACCCCTCCGTTCCTGCTCGCGTGCCTCCCCGCACTCCTAATTGGAGTTTCAAGCAAAATGTGACTGAAACGAGCGGTTGCATTTCCTGAGCCGCTGCTGTTGCTACTGCTGCTGCTGTTCTCGCTGCTGTTGCTGCTACTAATACCGTTGGTATTGTTGTAAGTAGTAGTGGACACGGTCTTAGTGGTTGTCGTGGTTGTCGTGTTCCCAACAGTCATAGTCGTCACTGCACTTATGGTGATGGTAGAGGAGTTGCTGACATACCCGCCATGCGTCATCAGCTCACGGCTGCTCACCGCGTTAAGCGGCAGAAGCACCGGCAGGCAAAGCAGGCTCAACACCCCGAACAGCTGTATACTGAACTGGAACATTCTCAAATACACCGCCGCATCGAGCCCTGCACACTCGATAATATCCGCTTCCGTGGCCTTCAATACAGGCACGACCCAGTCGAATGGCCGGGCCATGGGCTTGTGGGGAGCATGGGGGTCATTCATGTACATGCGCGAGGCGAGAAGGCGACGGAAGAAGGTGAAGAAGTGGAGGAGGAAGAAGAGCAGTAGAAGGGCGGCGAGTCCCGAGAACATGAAGATCACCAGCGTCGCGAAATCCGCCATGGTATTCGCCTCCATGGCGTGTGATGCTGTGAGCACTGGAAGTGGTGGTAAGGGTGGTGAGCTGGTGCCGCTGCTGTTGTTGCTGCAGCTGCTGCTGCTGATGCCGCTGCTGCTGCTGGTGCGGCTGTTGCTGCTAGTGCCGCTGCTGCTGCTGGTGCTGCTGCTGTTCCTTCCGCTGCTGCTCCTGTTACTGCTGCGGGTGCGTGTGCTGCTGCTGCTGATGCTATTGGAGGATGGCCAGAACTAGATCAACTTGCTTCTACATAATCTGATGAAGCGCGTACAGAGACCATCGGGCTTCTGAATCATCTGCGCGGCAAACCCGACGCGCGTCGCCTGCGAGCAGCAGAAGAAATGCTGGAGCTACTAGAAACACGGAGAATCAGCTCCTTTCCTGCCGGGAGTTGAGAAATTGCAGCACGAACCGGTTCTGACACGAGGCCGATTCTCATGCTTGACCCAATCAGACTGATCAAGCCAAGCTATTGCCAGTCAGATTAGTGGCTGAACAAACAGGACGGACTTCCATGAAGTTAAAGAGGTGGTTTAGCATGGGCAACAGAATGTTGACCGACCTTGAGGCCAACACAGGAGCATAAAAGCTTATCAAGCAGCAATTATCAGCTCCTAAAAGAGCCTCTCCCGACAGGGGTTGTGCGGCAACCTTACCACCCAGTTGTGTGAACAGGCAAGGTGAGGTGAGATGCATGTGTGTGTGTGAGTGTGTGTGTAGGAACCTCGAGCATGACGCACTGCTGCGGACAGGGTTCGTCGCGTCAATACAGTACGACTGTACGAGGCAAAGCAAAACGACGCACGCTTAGGGGACCGCGCCCGAGCCACATGCTGGACAAACTGGTCTGGTGGAGCCAGGGGCGTGGTTTACGCGCAGCGTAGTGCTGATTCCGTGGTGGTGGTGCGCTCTGGCAAGGAATAAACCAAACTAGTTCGCGAGGTTCGGTCGTGGCTTGGTGTTACGCAAATTTTTATGAAGTGATGGATTCCCGATAAAGACAAGTTCGTTCCACATAACAGTTAGACAAATTACTACGATTAAGAAAACAAGTTCAGCTTTTACGAAAGACTTCAAAGCTAGAGAATGTACAGTTTACTAGGAAGGTAATAGTCATTCCAAACCCAACAATGCCACCACCCATCCTAATTCAACAGCGGCATACTGCCATGGCAAGCCTCAGTGCAAACTGTCAGATGACACACGTGCTTGATAAGGGCACTTTGAGCCATCAACAGTGGGGTAGATTGTGCAGGCATGAGCAATTGTTCAGGCGAGGCATGTGCCAGGAGCTGCAAAATGAGCACAGAGCATGGCTGGTGGCAATGGGATGGCTTGTGGCAGAGAGGAAGACCAGAGAGGATAGAGGGATCATTCCAAAATTAAAACTGACAAGAGGTGGAGAACTGGAACAAAAGCAAGTAGAACGCAAAAACAACCAGTTGTGAGCAAGTAAGGCTTGTAAGGGAAGCAGAGGAACCGCAGCTGCAGCGTGGCGCAAGCAATGCGTGCTGAGACATGGGTTGACTGGTGGGTCAAGAGACGGTGCGGCACACGGTGGCGATTTGAAATAAAATGATGGCAAGGTGAACGGTGGCTGGCGCAGGCAGGCGGGATGGATGATAGAAGATGCAGAATAGACTATGGCTGGTGCAGGCGGGCAAAATAGACGATGGCTGGTGCAGGCGGGCAGGATGGACGGTGGAGGTGCAGACGCAGGATGGACGGTGGTGGGTGCCTGATGCCTCAATCTCAACAGCAGAAGCATGAGGTAGATTTCATAATCTTCCTCCCACTACTGGGCGCCATGAAAGCCTCCTAAGCAGTGGCGTCGAAGCACGAGAGCAGGCTGGAGAAGAGCTCATCCTCCATAATGCCACCAATGCCGCCGCAGTCCAGCCCACCCAGCAGCAACCCGGCCAAGTCCTCGCCCTCCCCTTCCGCACCGGCAGCAGCAGACTCCTGTTGCTCATTGCTCCAGTCAGTCACAGCACTCTTGGGCGATCCCTGCTCAAACGCGAACGCGCCCTTCATCACAACAGCCTCAGTCTTGGCAGCGTCAGCAGCAGCAGCAGCAGCAGCAGCAGCGATTCCGGCCTCTTCAGCGGTCGTCTCCTGCTGGTTAGGTGGCAGAAGATCCGCGAAGACGCTGGGAGCAGGCGGGTTCTTAAGATCATCTGCGCTACCGCTGTTGTTGGCGCTGCTCTCACCCGCCGCTCCAGCTGCGGCCGTTGCTGCTGCGCCATCCTCGACATTGAGCGGAATGCCCGCGCTGGCAGCCGCCTTGCGCAGCGCGGCGAGCTCCGCCATGAGGCGACTGTTCTCCATCTCCAGCCGGCTCATCTGCTGCGTCGCGCGCCCCAGCTTCGCCACCACCTGCGCATCACGGGCCAAGTCCCGACCAGCGAAACGGAAGGGAGACGGAGCGGGAAGATATGGAGAATGGCGATGCTTGGTTGCCATGGCCCATGGCTGAGCGACGGTGCGCAACGGTCGGAAACGACACCGTATCACGAGCGGCGTAACGGAGCAGCGTCGGAAGGAATCGACACGACTGATGAGCCGCAGAAGGACATAAGAGTCGGAGAATGGTGGACGGACGCACCTGTGCGTGGTCGGCGTGCAGCACCTCCGTCTCGCGCTCCAGCTCCTCCAGCCGCTCCTGGCGCCGCTGGCGAGAGCGCTTCGCCGACGCGCGGTTCGACATGATGCTGCGAGGGACGACGAGGAGAGGAAGAACCGAGAAGCCGAAACGACAGATAGTTAGACCGGCGCCAAGGACGGTTGAACACACCGACATATCACGACGAAGAGGAAACTGACGAGATAATAGGATGAAGCAGCTGTCACGGCTATCTATAAGAAACATAGACCGTCGTTCCGGCTCACCGCTTGGTCTTCTTCTCCTCCGTCTCGACCTCCACCCCCATCAAGGTACTCGCGAAGTCGCCGCCGCCGAGTGTAGAATTCGACGGGCCAGAAGGAGCAAGTTGCGCCGCGAGGGGGAGGAACGGAACCCCCGACACGGTTGCCGGCATGGGAGCGGCAACCGACGCCGCGGAGAGCATACTCGCGGCAGGAAGGCCGGTTACTGCGCCGGCAAGCGGGCCGGAGAGCGCAGCGGAGTTACCGGTTGCGGATACCCCAGAAATCCCCGCGGCCGCGCGGATCCAGGAGTCCATGGCGGAGGACGGGGGGGGAGTGGGCGCGGGGAAGGGAACAGGGCGCCCGGACAACTGCTGCGACTGGGAGAGGTACTCGAGGAGCTTCTGCTGCTGTTGCTGCTGCTGCTGCTGCTGCTGCTGCTTCTTGATGTCCTCAATAACGGACTGCTCCATACGCGCTATAAAGTTGGACGCGGCGTTGTCGAATTCGGAAGAGACGGACGCCGTCTGGCGCATTATCTTGGCGGGCCTGGCGGAGGACGAAGGGAGGAGCGAGGGCGGAGGAGAGGAACATCTAAATTATGAACGATGGCAGAGTAACGATGACGGGGGAGAGGAAGATGAAGGAGAAGGAAGGTACGTGAGGAGCGTGAGGAAAGGACTAGGAAGCGGAGAGGCAAACACAATTGGGAGTAAGCGAACGCAGCATAGCCCAATTGGTTGGAATGATTCCGTCCGCCGATCATCGGACAAAGAGCCGTGCCTTAAGAACAGAAACAAAAATTGCCTCGAGCACGAACAGAAAAAAAAAAAAAAAAAAAAAAAAAAAAAAAAAAAAAAAAAAAAAAGCAGGCTCACGGCCGCGAGAGGCCTCTGATGCCCAAAAGTCCACAAGCGTTACAAGCGACCAAGCGTAGCAGGGCAGATATGCACGGTTGCCGACATAACTTCTTCTGCATGGGCCATCCACCATTCCAGCTGCTGAGAAGCTTGAACGCAATCTCGTCAACTGTCGAAATCTACTACCTACAGAAACACAAAATCTATGCCCGCAAGCTACGCTGTACTCCGTTCCGGTAAGAAGTGCGCAACTCTGCCAATCTAACCTTCCCCGTCGCCGATCTAACCTCCTGCGGGAACAATGACAAAAAAATGAACTCCCGACGACAACCGTGCGCACTTGACGCAGAGGAGAAAGAGAGATGCGATGGTCTGCAGCTAAGGGACGGAACGGATCGGGACGCACACTTGGAATGGAGACGTGAGCTGTGGGCCGGCGCACGAAGCAAGCGGTCGTTTCAGTGGCAGCTGCGGGGCGGCCAGGAGAGATCCATTTCTCCCAGAGACAGAAACGGAGCCAATTGCGGCGCCCGGAGCGCGAGAGTAGACAGGCAAGCCCGTGGCGGGTGGTGCCACGCTGCCCCGAGCGAGGGCAGCTGCGGCCCGAGCGAGATCATAGCCGCCGCCGCGAACAGCAGCAGCGCCAGCGGGCTGCTGCTGAAAGTTCGCGACCTGGGGGAGTAGATCAGGAGGACGACACATGTTGTCTTGGTAAAACTAGATCAGTAGTGTAAAGCTAGGCAGAGAGAATGGTTGAAAGACAGTTGACTCTCATTCAAGGAGGTTCCAGTTCGCTTGTCAACTAGGTGACTAGTCAATCTGGGTGGAGTGACGTTTGGGTGGACAGGAGAGGGTTTGCTTTTGGAGTGAGGCAGTTGTCTGGATTCTTGGAGGTGATGTGCGGCAGATAGCGAGTGACAGCGGAGAAGCGAGGTGGGGAAAGTGAGGGATAGCCGAGGGGAGGAGAGCTGGGGTTTCCAACGAAAGTTGGGGGAATGGGGGAATGCGGGGAACCCTGTGGTGTTGGGGGAATCTGGGGGGAGGGGATGAGGCGGGGCCTGGAGAAATTTCCCTTGGGAGGAGGTGGGGACGGAACGGGGTGGGACGGGAGGGAGCAGCAGAATAGGGTTTCGTTCGTTCCTGCGTCAGGCGGTGAATCGAAAGGCCATTCCAGAAAAGTCATATCGCGGGTTGGGCCGGCCCGCACCACGGCGAACCAATCGGAAAGTGGCGCGGCAACAGGTGAATGGATGGAAACTCAGAAATTGGGTGGTTGACGATGAGCGAGTGGTCATGCATGATACACCACCAAGTTTGTTTGGGATAGGTTGGCGCAGAAATCGTGAGTGTGGGACTTTTGGAAACATTTTTAATGTTAATCGATACAGTACTAATAGAGAACAACGTCGATAACATCTAGGGCTCGTTTCTATCCCGTGTCAGACATCAAGTCATGCGGCCTTAGTCTCCAATTTGTCTCTTCCGAACTTCCAATCGCCCCAAAAACGAGCCACTTCGGGTCTTCAGAACCTCCACTTCGTGTCAAACCTATTGTCTGACCGGGATAGAAACGCGCCCTTAATGTGTACTAATAGTTCCTCGTGTTGAGGTGGCTGCCCAAACGATCAGGGCAGCTATGACTGATAAAGCTGACGCTACTTCGGAAAAAGGTTCTGAGTGAAACTCCGAAGTTTGGGCGCAGAGAGTGCGGTGGCTACGAAGCTATGCTAGTTCGGCAGCACAGCTGCAAGCGGAAAGCAAATGCGGAAGGCAGCATTGATCGCGCATCACACGAACCGCCATGCCGGTTCGATATTATTTCCTGATTCTCCCTACATCTCCAGGCTCGCTGGTTGGCCCACCCAGCTGCCTTCATTTCTGGACCCCGTGCACCAGGTCTATGGGAGGTTTCCCATTTCGAGATTCAAATAAAAGGCCAGAATTCCGGTTTCTCCTCGCGTCACCTTCTGAATACACGTGCTATGTGATGGCATCTCGCTCCCCTAAAGGTGCGTCAGATCCTTTGTCGGAAAAATCCGGCCGGCCGGAATTAGCGAAAGTAACAAGTTTGCGATACTCGCACAAATTGTCGTCGAATTCGCTAAATCCGGCCATTTGTAAAAAAAAATGATGGCCGGTTCAGCATACGACAAAGTTCCGACGTGCAGTCGACTCGAAAGTCGACCAATTTGTCGACCTGAGATCGCTACAGTCACTATACGACGTCGCCAGCTCGTGCGACGCAACGTGTCACACAAGTACTGCATCTGCGACTCCGTCGCACAATCCGGCCACTCTAGCGAACTGAAAATCTGACACATTTGCAAAGCGGCCTGCAAATCGGCCACCAAATGTGTCAAATTTTTCGGCCCTGTAAATGTGGCCGGATATTGGTCGCTTTTTATGTCGACCATGCTGTCGACTTTGGCGCAAGATACAGTCGACCAAATTGTTGACAAAATTCCAGCCAAATCACATTGTAGCGGATCTGACGCACCCTAAGATAGGGGTTATTAATATGATATTAGTAGCATCAAGCTGAAATAGGGGCTAGTCAATGAGACCATGTTGCTCCTGTAAGCTCGAAAAATTCAGCTCTTCGTGCTGCCACACATCATTGCAGAGCAGATTGACCCTCAGCGACCCATTGATTCGGCGATTCGGCATCTTTCTGCGACATCTCGCAGCTGCCAAATCTGCCCTCACTTCCTGCGAGGGACCACCAACCCGCAAACATCGGTTCTCTCACACAGACCAACTATATACCGAAATTTGCTGCGGCCATAACGGCTGTCCAAGTTCGTTTGCTGTATCTCGTTATGGTAGAGACATTGGACCACCTACGAAAACCGTGTCACGATAGCATAAACAATCAACTCCGAAAGTTTTAAATACTTGCACGCTGGTTGGTTACTAAATGTTTGCTTCCAATCAAATTTCTATCATTTCGAGGCAGTATTTGCAGTACATGAAGTCACCACTAAACACATTATAACGCAGAGTTAAATATTTCATTTTTTGTTACAATACCATAAATTATCAAAGAACTAGGCCTTTGCGGGCCATGTGCCACGTGGCCGAAGAAGTCATAGGAAGATAAGTGGTGCCGTTGCTGACTGCAACACAACTGATGGTGGCGGTGGTGGAAGTGGAACTACCACGGGTTCGAATAGGCTTGAGTTTGACCCCCAGCGCTGCCATAGAAAGCTCTTCTTGTCTGAACGATTCTTGTGAGCCCACTTGGTGCTTGGACCAAGATGCAAGGGAGGTGACAGACAGAGGCGAGGAAGCGCAAGGGGAGTAGCAGCAGGAGGAGCAGGCGTCCGGGGAGGAAGAAGAAGGAGAAGCAGCAGCAGAGCAGTGATGGTGATGTCTGGAAGCAAAGTAGTCCTTGGAGCAGGTCAAGGTGGAAAGCGAGCTGGCAGGAGAGGCGGAGGACGCAGAAGCCGCAGAGAGCCACGCGGTCATAAGGGATGAAGAAGCAGCTGAGTTGGATGATTGCGGTTGAGGGGATGGGCTGCTGTTAGGGGACGCTGCTGCTGAAGTAGATGCTGAACTTCTAGCAGACCCCACAGCTGAGCTTGCAACAGACGCTGCAGCTGACCCTGATCGCAACGATGCTGCTGACGCTGCCGCTGCTGCTGCTGCCACGGCCTCACAGTAATCCAGCGACGCGGCAAAGGGCGACACGCAGTGCATGCCTTGCCGGGCAAAGAATGACTCGAGGGGTTTTCTGAGCATGTGCGGTCGCTCCTCTGTGACGAGCGCACCCGAAGCCTCTACTTGAACCCAGGACGTGGTCATGGGGTCAAGGTGGCACATCATGTGTGCAGCTTCTTGCATTGATGCTTCAGACATCTCGCCTGCTACCAGCAGCACAGGGCACTTGAGGTGCAGCAGGAAGGGCGTGAGGTCGATGCGACTGAGGAGGGATCCAGGGAAATGGATACGGGTGAAAGAGTAAAAGGGAGGGAAAGGGGTGAGTGCACACTGGTGCTTCCCGAATTGTTGCATGGGCTCAAGCGGGGGAGGAAAGTGGGTATAGCAGAAGTGCCGAATCAGCTCTGTTGGTGCTAGACAACAAGGGGGTGTTGGTGCTGGACCGTTACATTGTCGAGCGCAATGGTGATGGCGATGCAAGACGGATGAAACCTGCGCACGTGAGCTTATGAGATGAGCTTTGCTTACCTGTGAATGATGTCGAGGTATCGCATGACGTTCTCTGGCTCCCTGTTGTCCAACTCCTGCACTCAGTCAGACACAGCCAGTCAGAGTCAGTCAGTCAGCACGGCAATGTTCTCCGGTGCGAAGCAACACACGAGCCGTCATTAGCATCAGAAGCCAACCAAGAACAAGCACAGGAGGTACCAACGGCAAAGCCGACAGCGCCCTTACAAGCCACCAAGGAGATGCTACACACAAGCACCAACAAGCCAAACACCACAGCCACTAAAGCACACCTCTGTGGGTGCCTCAGAAAGGTCATTTTCCTCAACATGGCGTCCTGCCTGACTGCGCACCTGGCGGAACATGAGGATGGAATCGGAGGCGGGGCCATGGAAGCCGGTCTGCTGGTGGCAGAAGTAGCGGTGCACGAGCGCATCCTTGACGTACTTGCTCATGCCCGCCACGCACAGCACGCCCAGCAGCACCTTGCTGCGCGCCCACTCGCCCCACGACGCCGCCCGGCACACGGGTGAGACCAGCACCAGCGACTGCACCGCTTGGGGACGCTCCAGCTGATGGGGACCGCGGCGGAAGGGGGAGGACGGGGGGGAAAGAGCGGGGGGGAAGGGAGAGAGCAGGGGGGAGGTGCGGGAGAGGGGAGAGGAAAAGACAGGTGAGAGGAATGGAGGGGACGGGGAGGGAGATGAGGCGGGAGAGCCGAAATAGGAAGGAGGCAGCAGGAAAGGGAGCGGGAGGAACAAGGCGCGAGCAGGAAGCAGGACTGACCGCAAGCAGGGTGAGGACGTATGCCCCTGCGCCAACGCCAATGCACACGGCGGGCGGCAGGCGGAACCACGCCATCACCTCCGCCACCTGCTCCGCCAGGTCGCTCGCCGTGAGCTGCGCCTCCAGCGGAGAGATCTCCCCCGCGCCCGCCTCGTGCCCCGGCGCGTCGATATGGTAGATGCAGAAGTTGCCGAGCAGCAAGTGCGCTGTATCGGGACACAGCATTAGGCCCTCGAAGCACGTCGAGTCTGGCGGTTTTAATCGCGCAGGCGGGTGGGGGGGGGGGGGGGGGGGGGGGGGGGGGGGGGGGGTTGATGGGGAGGAGATAAGAGCTGGAATGAGATGGGAGATAGGGGCGAACTGAGAAGCGAGCGGACTGATCGTGGCATGGTGGATACTGTTCACCGGAAGGCGGATGCGGGACGGAAAGAGGATGGATTTCTTGGAAGGAAGCGAGAAGAGAAAAGCGGGACAAGCGAAGTTTCTTGAGGAGAACGGGACAAAGGTGTGGTCAGCAAGCAAGCAACACCCGGAAATTGACAGAAGACTGTGGTGAGAGGGGTGGAAGGTCGGGGATGAGGGAGGGATTGCTGCGAGAGGACGGGCGCTCACGGTTTAAGCCAATGTCGTGGTAGGTAAGGAGAGGCGGCAGCGACCGATTCCCGCACACCGTCACGCGGAGCGGCCCGTGCGTGGTCATCACAGTTTCCGCCTGCACGGGGGGGGAAACAACGGTGGAGGGAAGGGGTATTTGCAAGGGAAGCCGAGGGGGATGGCGGATGGAAACGGCGGTATAAGAGGGGTACGGAGGGGTGTCCTCAGTAGGAAGAGTAGTCAGAGAAAGCATGACTCTGCTCGAGGGGGGCCCGTGACGACTGCCGACTTAAAAGTCGGGGGGGGGGGGGGGGGGTGGGGGGGGGGGGGGGGGGGGGGGGGGGGGGAAGTGGAGCGACTTAAACACAACTGCTTCATGAGGTGCCTCAAACTACACCAGGACTGATGATACTACCACCACTCTACATGTCTGGTCGCCGTGCCTGCTTTAGCCCGCCTTTTGTCTCTGACCGCCGCCGCACCACGAGCGCACAGGTTGGAATGCCTATCGCCTATCACACTGCGCGTCTCGAACTACTCCCTAAAGGTGTCTGGTTGGGCCCCGACTGGATCAACTGGAACTAATCAAGTGCCACCTGTCAATCCACTCAAGGGACTCCCATTTCATGTCACATCTCCTGTCTCCTATCCCCTAACTTCGATCTCCTCTTCCCTGTCCCCACTCTCCTGTCCCCTATCTCTTATCTCTTGTCACCGTTGTGCTATCATCAGTATTGCTAACAGCGCCGAGGCTCACCTGTCCTCTCCACGGCGCTTGCTCCTCGTCGCCGGAGTAGTAACCCGTGCGACCGCTGCGATCGCTGTGGTCGGCGAACTCCTCGTCGCAGAAGTCGCCATCTCCGCCCCACATCCACTCCGTACTATTGGATGACCCTGTCATTGCGCCTAGTAGCTCATAGCCGGAAGTGAAACGTGGCGACGGTCGTTGTGCGACGTTTTCTGGTCGCCGCGGCAGCGGCCAGGCAACGTTGTGCGGAGGCGAATGAGTGACGGTAAAAACTGCCGAGAGTACAGCGTAATTACGACGAATACGATATGTTGAAGAATATGTCGTTAGTAAGGAAAGTTGAAGGACGCACTTCTGAATCGTGACCAGCAAGTCGCGAATGTTCTAGTAGTCTTGGTCTATGTTGTTACGGGTGGTGCAAGTGAATAAACCTGGCGATCGAATACTACCGAATGTGTTCAACAGGCTGTTCTTGTTCCGTCTAAGGCTCCTTTGGAGCCGGGGAGTGGATTTCGGTAAGCTGATTGAAGCCGAAAAAAATATGCTGGAATAGAGGCGGTTCATCCAATTTGAAGCCTATTGCTGCGACTTCGGTGGCGGATTATACACGGTTCGTGTATGTCTTCCTAATCTATTCGACTCCTAATGGAATTGACCCCGCTGCGGCGTGTGCAAGGCAAGGCAAGGACGCGTGGTGTGGGGTAGAGAATCCGATGCTGGGCATTCAACCGACTCCACGCCTCGCGACACGACGAGCAACATCCCAGTGGCTGCACCTTGGCGAATGTCGCTCCTTAGGAATTTCGCTATGTGAGAAACCACAGATTTCGGTCAGGCGGCAATTTGCGGTAAAAGTGGGGAGAAGCTTGGCGATGCGAACTAGCCTTGGGACGAATAACTACCACACACAAGTCACCACGTTACGCGATTTTTTAAATTCATGGGCGTTGTTCCAGTTTTTTTCTCGTCGTTGGCGCTCATGTCGAACCCTTGTCGCAACCCATTTTCGCTCCAGCTCTCGTCGTGGTTTCAGTAGGCGCCAGCGGGCGGCGCCCACCCTTGGTTGCCGTCGCACCGAAATTTTTGCCACGCGTGCGACACGGAGGGGAGAAAAGCAAAAGTTTAGGCGGGCCGCACTTGAATGTTTCGATGCTTCCGTTCCGCAGGGCCATGTTGCTTTGCTTACTCCATTCGTGGGGGGCTGGCTGGTTGTGGGGTTTGTGGGCGACGCGGAGGAGTCCACTCTCATCCACGCCCCTACCACAGGTTCCGTGCTGCACGACAGCTTTAGTCGCATGGACACTCCGGCGTCTCGCAACACTCGATTCAAGTATGTACCTGCTGAATGATGGCCCTAAAAGAAAGATCAGTTATCATTTATTCCCACAAAATGGCCTAATTGATGCGTGTGTACCTTGTAGCACTCATTTGGCAGCATTAGAAGTTGGGCACAATCTGTATGCCGTCAGCGGTTACACAAGTCTTTGATACAAACCAATTGATGCAGAACATACATGCAACTTGCCACCTACATAGGCTCCATTAAAGCCCGCGGCCCAAATTGCGGACCGCGCGGGTCAAATTTTTAAAACTGGACGAAGTGGGCTGTGCAAGCTCTGAAAATTACCTCAGCTGCAATTTGGGACTTTTGAAGTCTGATACCCTGATTATCAAGGTGGTTTTTTGTAGCCACACTGATGGCCTAGGGTAATTTTTAGTGGAGCTAGGATTTTCCTGATATGCCAGGGTTTACATTCAAGGCACACTGATGCCTCAGGGTTACCGTTCTTCATGACGAGTTTTACCCTGAAACGAGTACCATACCATACCCCCCTCCCCCCCCCCCCCCCCCCCCCCCCCCCCCCCCCCCCCCCCCCCCCCCCCCCCCCCCCCCCCCCCCCCCCCCCCCCCCGCCCACTTCCCCCAACCCCCCTTTCCCATAACCTGGGATTACCAATTGCCAACTTTCGAAACAAGAATTTCAGCCTCTTGCCAACTGTCAAACACGGTAGTAGTTTATTACAAGTCCATTCACCAGGGTTTGCTAAACTGGTACACTGATGCCACCGGGTTTGATTGTCAAAAAAAAAAGAAAAGCACTGATGGATCAAGGTTTGAATAACGTGTCACACTGATAATCAGGTTTTTGAACTTGTGGAATGTTACGATATGAAGTTTTATGAGTAAGGCATTCCTGTATGCTGCAGGAGCCGACTCTACCGAGTACGAAGTCGAGGAGTCAGAAGAGTCGAAGCGACGCAGGAACCGTCTGACCAAGACCGATGCAGGCAGAAACACTTGAAATGAAAAGAGCGGGAACAGGTTCAAAACGGGTTCCTGCGCCGCACGGTTTGAATTTGTTGTAATAAGTGAATGTACCCCTTAGAGTACCGTACATGGCTAGTCTAGGTCTTTTCGTATTCCCCTGTACTCTTATATAAACTCGATGTATGCATGCTTTTAACAACTCATGTGAAAAAATGAGGATTGAAGAAGGGGGGTTTCACTAGCAGCAGTTGGGATACATATAGCAAACCCTAACAGGGTTGTACTCGCTATAGAGCACCCCACTACAGGCTAGATAATTATAACATTGTGACACACCCCCATAGCCAAAGTGGGGTGTAATCAGCACAATGAGCAAGCAGGTATAGAGCAGGAGTTCACAAAGACAAGCAAAGCTAGAGGCATTCACAAAGGGCAAGTGAGGAGGAGGCGAGACTGTAAGAGGAGAGGAGATAGGAGACGACGGCTGAAGCTGCACACACACGGGCAACAGGAGTCACACTGGCACAGCGGCTACCGGAACAGCGCCCCGGACTACTGGAGTAACTGGCTCCGCGGCTATAGACGAGCGGCAGGAGCAACGGACCCACGGGCGACTGGCGCAGCTGGCTACGACTGGGCTACCGGAGCAGCGCCCCGGACTACTGGTGCTGCTGACGACACGACGACAGCCTCCGTTCAACCTCCCCCAACTGTCCCACCCCCCCTTTCACACACTCCTTGCTGCACCCCTAGCTTCACTCCCACGTCACCCCCCTTTTCACACACCCCCTACTGCACCCTAGGTTCACTCACCCCCCAGAGCCAACAGCAGCACCTCCAGTAGTTCCAGCAGCTCGAGCACCCCCAGAGCTAGCAGTACCACCACCAGCAGCTCCACCAGCTCCACCAGCTCCAGCAGCACCAATAGGAGCACCACCAGCTCCACCGGCAGCTCCAGCAGCACCTCCAGCACCCCTAGAGCCAGCAGAACCACCACCAGCAGATCCAGCAGCTCCACCAGCTCCAGTAGCACCCCCAGCAGCACCAACAGTAGCACCATCAGCTCCACCGGCAGCTCCAGCAGCACCTCCAGAACTACCGGCCCCGGCAGCTCGAGTACCCCCGGTATGAGCACCTCCAGGGCCTGCGGTAGCACCAGTGTCTCCAGCACCAACAGCAGTACCGCCAACTCCAGGACGCCTCCGCAGTCGCTGACGAACCGCAAACCACTCTCGCAGCTCCGCTGGTGTAAGGGGCCGGCGAGTAACCGGTCCAGCACCCTTAGGCTCAGCACGCCCAGACTCTGCACCCTCCAGGACCTCTCGCACCGGCACAGCACCCTCAGGCTCCGCGCTCTCCAGCACCTCACGCACCGGCTCAGCACCCCCAGGCTCCGCACCCTCCAGCACCTCACGCACCGGCTCAGCACCCTCAGGCACCTCACCCTCCAGCACCGCACGACGTGGCTCAGCACCTCCAGACGCAGCACCTCGAGCAGTACCACCCCCAGCAGCACCTGAGACGCTAGTGACCTCGACAGGCTCAGCTAAGGGGGGCGGGTCTACCTGAGACACACCTGAAGGAGCAGGACCCTTGGGGGGAAGGGGGTCTACCGGAGGGGGATCTGGAGCAAGGAAGAGAGGCGGGGGAGGGAGAGGAGCAGTTCGGTAGGGAAAGAGGCGGTAGAACGGGACTGACTCGTCAAAAGTGACGTCCTGAGAAGACAGGACCGTGCGCGAGGCGGGGTGGTAAAACTGCCAGCCAGGCGCGTCAGTCGGAAAGCCGAGGAAGGGCCGAAAGGGGCGGCGACGGGGCCGCAAGTGGCGGCGACGGGGCCGCTGGAGGCGGCGACGGGGCCGATAGGGGCGGCGACGGGGCCGCTAGGGTCGGCGACGGGGCCGCTGGCGGCGGCGACGGGGCCGATAGAGGCGGCGACGGGGCCGTTAGGGTCGGCGACGGGGCCGCTGGCGGCGGCGACGGGGCCGATAGAGGCGGCGACGGGGCCGCTAGGGTCGGCGACGGGGCCGCTGGCGGCGGCGACGGGGTCGATAGAGGCGGCGACGGGGCCGCTAGGGGCGGCGACGGGGCCGCGAAGGGGCCGCGAAGGGGCCTGAGAGGTCGGCGACGGGGCCGCTGGCGGCGGCGACGGGGCCGACAGGGGCGGCGACAGGGCCGCGAAGGGGCCACGAGGGGCCTGGAAGGGCGGCGACGGGCCGCGAAGAGGCCGCGAGGGGCCTGAAAGGGGCGGCAACGGGGCCGCAAAGGGGCCGCGAGGGGCCGAGAAGGGCAACGACGGGGCCGCGAGGGGTGGCGACGGGGCCACTAAGGGTCGCGCGAGGGGCACGCCACGGGGCGTGCAGAGCACAGAGTAGCAGCGGAAGCAGTTAGGTGGGCCCACAGGCCAGGACCGTAGATGCTATGATACCATGTGAAAAAATGAGGAGTGAAGAAGGGGGGTTTCACTAGCAGCAGTTGGGATACATATAGCAAACCCTAACAGGGTTGTACTCGCTATAGAGCACCCCACTACAGGCTAGATAATTATAACATTCTGACAACTCAGTCATTTACATTCACTCAGACCTGAGATTAAAATCTTCCGCTGCAACACTACTCTGCGATCAACCCTGAGCGATCATTCACTAAGTCTCACTTGGGATTGTAACATGGTATGAGAGCTACTCTGGGATTCTTCGCAACCTCACTTCCGTGAAATCCGCCGAACCAAGATATGGCGAGCGGCACACGCTCCAAGATCAAGATGGCCGGAGGATCCGGAGGCCAAGCAAATCTGACGGCTGAAGGACAATCCAACCCGGCTGCGACAAATGAGGCGACAACTACGATCGGCACTGCCGCTCTCGAGCAACTTTTCGCTCGACTCT